TAAATTTTATTGAGTTTTAATAATTTTGGTCACAATAGAAAATGGGGTCCATCCACCATGATGTACCGAGGCAATTCTAGCATGCAATTCATAACCTAAAATGGTAATTTGACGCTATTTGAAAAAGACTTTAAACTTATTGCACAAAATTGATAGCAATGGGTCTTATTTTAAGACCCAAAAGTACCAAAATCAAGAACACCCTTAAACGTCTCCGAATGTTAAAATGACCTATCAAGGCAATTCTAGCGTGCAATTCATTACTTAAAACGGTCATTTGACGCTATTTGAAAAAGACTTTAAATTTATTGCATAAAATTGGTAGCAAAGGGTCTTATTTTAAGACCCAAAGATACCAAAATCAAGAACACCCTTAAACGTCTCCGAATGTTAAAATGACCTATCAAGACAATTCTAGCATGCAATTCATAACCTAAAATGGTCTTTTGATGCTATTTGAAAAAGACTTTAAATTTATTGAATAAAATTGGTAGCAAATGGTCTTATTTTAAGACTCAAAGGTACCAAAATCAAGAACACCTTAAACGTCTCCGAATTTCAAATTGACCTATCAAGGCAATTCTAGCGTGCAATTCATAACCTAAAATGGTCTTTTGACGCTATTTAAAAAAGACTTTTAATTTATTGCATAATATTGGTAGCAAAGGGTCTTATTTTAAGACCCAGAGGTACCAAAATCAAGAACACCCTTAAACGTCTCCGAATGTTAAAATGACCTATCAAGGCAATTCTAACGTGCAATTCAAAACCTAAAATGGTTATTTGACGCTATTTCAAAAGACTTTAAATTTATTGCATAAAATTGGTAGCAAAGGGTCTTATTTTAAGACCCAAAGATACCAAAATCAAGAACACCCTTAAACGTCTCCGAATGTTAAAATGACCTATCAAGACAATTCTTGCGTGCATGTCATTACTTATAACGGTTTTTTGATGCTATTTGAAAAAGATTTTAAATTTATTGCATAAAATTGGTAGCAAAGGGTCTTATTTTAAGACCCAAAGATTCCAAAATCAAGAACACCCTTAAACGTCTCCGAATGTTAAAATGACCTATCAAAGCAATTCTAGCGTGCAATTCCTTACTTAAAATGGTTTCTTGATGCTATTTGAAAAAGACTTTAAATTTATTGCATAAAATTGATAGCAAAGGTTCATATTTTAAGACCCAAAGATACCAAAATCAAGAACACCCTTAAACGTCTCCGAATGTTAAAATGACCTATCAAGGCAATTCTAGCGTGCAATTCGTTACTTCAAACGGTTTTTTGATGCTATTTGAAAAAGACTTTAAATTTATTGCATAAAATTGGTAGCAAAGGGTCTTATTTTAAGACCCAAAGATACCAAAGTCAAGAACACCCTTAAACGTCTCCGAATGTTAAAATGACCTATCAAGGCAATTCTAGCGTGCAATTCGTTACTTAAAACGGTTTTTTGATGCTATTTGAAAAAGACTTTAAATTTATTGCATAAAATTGGTAGCAAAGGGTCTTATTTTAAGACCCAAAGGTACCAAAATCAAGAACACCCTCAAACGTCTCCGATAGTTAAAATGACGTACCGAGGCAATTCTAGCGTGCAATTCATTACTTAAAACGGTCATTTGACG